CTCCATACTTAAGCACCCTTTTCTCGTGACGGCTGCCTTAAAGTTTTTACTTCTTTTGTTCAGAAGAGGGTCGAGCGTGGGAGGGGGATCTCCTTACATATATGTAGTAAATGAAATAGTATCCTCCAAGGTAACACGGATCCCTTGTTAGATTTTAAGTTTATGCATATGGAGGTAATCGGCTAGTCCTTCAGAAGTTTTATTATCCCCTAACCACTCTAATGTCCTTTATGTTTTTGTTTCTTTTTGTTGTTTTGTTTTTGTGTGTTTGTGGTTGTGTTTTGTTTTGTCCTTTTCTTGCAAACCTTTCCAGTAAAGAAACTAAAATATATACCGGTGTATTGCGATTCGTTGACAAACTAGAATGTTCCAAGGAACACGTGTCGCCTGCTTTGTAGCTGCAATAATCATGATAATGTAGCCCTCTCCGATTTTTTTTTTTTGGGGGGGGGGGGGACCTCTCCTGAAAGTATCAGATTAAAAAAAAATCGGAGAGGGCTACATTATTGCAGCTACCTGCTTTGTTACGTTTCCTTAAAAAATGTAAATAAATCTCATATAGTGGTCAGCTATATTTTACTATTAATTAGCATGATAGTTTATGCATTCGCCTGCAAAGAAAAAATGGCATCCATGGATTAGTATAAGACTGCAATAGAATCTGACAAGAAAATGTTGTTCTCAAATGAATAATTACATGTAAATAGAAATTATTAGAAATAACTACTAGTATCTATCATTTATTAATTTACGTGTTTCCAACATTTCTGTCTGTCTTTACTGCAACATTGTCAGTCTACATAATCCACATGGAATACCAATCACGATGTATTTTCATAGTATTTAAATATAAGTTAATATGGTAAGCGAATATGATACAGTTTTAAAGCACTGTATCATAAGCTCAATGTGTTTCCAACAATTTTCCAAAAGAGATTTCAGTTTGTCTTTACTGCAATTGTCAGTCGACATGATCCATATGAGTGGATTGTAATCGCGGCTAGGATAAGGCTGTCCGAAGAATGTCACAGTGTACCAGCCGTAGTAACTTCTCTGAACTACCTAGATATGACGTCATAATGGCATATGACGTCAAGTCACTGCATATTTGAGCTGACATGACGGGGAAAGTGTCATAACTTTTACATTCCTTTCACATCACATGTAGAATTTTTTTACGTTGATGTTTAATTCACGTGTCTGGATTGTTGTTTTAAGGCTGTTATGATTGTGAATATTTGCAGTATAATATCGTTATTACTTTTTCTTGTCTTACATGTACTTATTCAAACAATTTGAAAAAAAGAATGTGAAATGCCTCCCTAACGTGTCTGTAGACAGAGTTAGAATCTATAAATCTTATATATATTAGACTGGCACAAGTGAATAATAAGGATTAATTGAAGATATTTTGTGTGAATCTACTAGAGAAATATGTCCTGTAACTGAATTTTGCTGGGGGATTGTATGTAATATATCCTATTTTGTATAAATTGCGATGAAGAGTGGAAAATGACCCCTTGTATGTGGGTAAGTTGAATTTCTCGTGAAATATTTTCTTATGAAATAAAATTCAGACTTGCCCCCAGCACTTTATATATACCCAAGAATACGTTTAATTGATTTATGTAACAAGCCGTTCACAATAATTTTGTTTTTCACTTGTGCCGATGCGATTTTTGTGCAACATTTAAGAAAATTTATAAGTGTCCGTCACGTGATCAACACAGTCATGTGACATCACAAAAATGCTTTTTTGTAATACCTTATTCAACTTTCTTTACAACTTAACCGTGTATGTATACATAGATTACAAATTGAAGTCAAAACATTGTTCAATATAAAATAGTATATATTTAATGCATATTAAGCCTTCGGACAGCCTTAACCTAGCTGCGATGCTGGTATTTTTCAAAATATCTTATGACAAACAGTGCACATGCTAAATAACATAGACTTACCTCTTAAATGTCAAAAATATTCCGTATATTGGCACTATGATCTATTTTTGAAAAGTAGGTCAAAGGTCAAGGGTCACGAGGTCAGTAACCATGGTAATTTACAAAAGCCATAGTGCCAAGCAATATATACTGTATATGTGCAAAATATCAAATCCATACCTCTTACAGTTCTCGAGATAAAGGGTGTGACAGACTGCCAGACAGACAGGGTAAATTGATAAGTGCAGCTCTGCTCTGCAGGCGACACAATGTCGTATTGTGATACTTTTCTTAAGGCCGATATACCACCAAAATGCTTGGACTTCTGATTTCTTAAAAACATTTTGAATTTTACGATGCCAGAAGTTAACGTTTTCAATCGTTCCAAACAGTATACATGTATATAAGGTTGCTGTTTTATGGTTGCATTTCGTTGCAAAACTGTAGTTAAATCAACATAATATATACATACATACATACATACATACATACATACATATATATATATATATATATATATATATATATATATATATATATATATATATATATATATATATATATATATATATATATATATATATATATATATATATTTATATATATATATATATACTCATGGGAAGCAAGCAAAACATTGTATATGATGATAGTATTAGGAAGTGGCGTTAAGGAGGGAGAATGTACATGTATTTTGCTCCCCAACATAAATTTGAGAGTATGAAAAAAATCAGGTGACGAAATTATCTCTGGGCCCTCCCCAACCCTGGGATGAACGCGTATCTCATTTCTTAAGGTTTTACAGTAAAACTAGTCTAATCCGGACATGGTTCCATAGAAAATGTCCGAATTAGACAACATTCCGGATTAGACAACATTTAAAACAAATAAATTTATTAAGCAAGATTTCGGATAATACATCCGGATTAGATAAGTTTTACTTGTATTATAAGATATAGTTAAAAAATAGGGGTCAGATTTCTATGGGGGTCATTTTTCAACGTGTGTGGAGTCGTCAAATTACCGGCCTGGAAGGGTTTTCTACGGTCGAAAAATGACCCTTCTTGCAGTAGAATATTGACCGGGGGTCACTTTTCCCGGTCAATATTCTACAGGGGTCACTTTTCGTCGTTACAACGGAAACAGCACAATATTTCAACTTCCAGTAAAACTCCATTTGATTGTTATAGACCAGACATGACTAATATACTTTTTCTGCCAGTGATCTTGAACTTGCTGGAATGACCTACATGTAGGGTCAATATCAATACTTATCTTCAGTTCACATGAAATATTTGTGCAAGTATGAGCCTCTAATGTTCTCCATTACAAAATATGGTCAGGACAAAAATTATATTATGATAAATGATTTTTCTGAAGTGATCTTGAATTTGGTCAAATGACCTTTGGTCAAGATCATGAAACACCTTCAGATCATAAGCAATCTTTGTGTAAAATATAAACTTCTATTGTTTCTCCATTATAAAGCCGTAAATCGGAAAGAATATTTTTTCTACCGGTAACCTCGACACAAATAATAATTTTTTTCTGCCCATGACCTTGAACTTGCTGGAATGACCTAAGGCCAAGGTCAAAAATATCCTCAGTTCACATTCTATATTTCTGATAAGCATGAGCCTCTAAATATATGTTCTCCACTGCACGATATCGTCAGGAAAGGAATTGCATAATTTTTCTAAAAGTGACCTTGAACTTATTCAAATAATCCGGGTCAAAATCATTACAAACCTTCAGTCATAAGCAATATTTGTGTAAAATATGAACTTTCAGCGTTTCTCCATTAGGAAGTTGTAGACAGGACACAAATTTTGTACTTTTTCTACCAGTGACCTTAGACTTGCTGGGATAACTTAGGATCAAGATCACAACACCCCCTCATGCCATGAACAATCTTTGTACCATGTATAACCCGGGCAAGATTGCACGGAAAGACGGACAAGGTGATTTCTAAATACCCCCAAACTTCGTTTGTGGAAGTGTAAAATAAGATGGTCAATTTTAACTGGTTGATATCATCACTTAGTTATATTGTCTTTTTTGTGTGCGTGAAAATGTTACGAATTTAATACAATAAATACAAAGTATGAGAAGATCCTTCCTTAAGGTTATTCCAAAAATCACAAAATTGAAAACCTTCAGATCTCATGGGTAAAAGAGAAGTCTTTTTTAGAATTTGGAAATACATTTGTAACTGTCTTCTCGTTTGTTGACGAATCTACAGACCGAGTTTTACATAAATGGAAGGAAATCAATGCGTACGCATAAGGACCATGCCATTTTCAGAAATCCATTCAGGTATGAATGATTACAATCATGTGTCACTTGTGAGAGATGATACAAACTTTTATCAAAAATCTTGAAATTAACAATTTAGGTCAACTTTCTATTAGTAAAAGAATAAGTTCAACCGTATAGATTTTTACATTTCATTCAAATTTCATAATAACTGGATTTAAAGCGACAAAAAGTTGCATACATTAATAAGGAAGGCTGCAGAAAGGTGGAATTTTGAACATCGTAGAAAAATTACAATTTCTTTAAGTTAATACTTTAGAAAATTTATTTTTCTAATCATTTACAACCACAATGGGTCAAAAAATACTTACCAATCCAGGTATCCATTTTTTGTTTGTATCATCTGTCCTTAAGGTCATACGCAACGTACATGAATGTGTACTTTACAATGAACTTTCCCACTGCTAATTTTCCAATATATCCTTAATTTAAAATCATGGTACCATCAGATGAATCAACATACATTACCAAGAGTTTTAAACAGATATCAAATGATGAAAATCCTTAAAATCCTTGTGTTCTTAATGGAAAATTAACAGAAACACGTGTATATTTTTAGCTGGTATTTCCTCAATATTTGACTCAGAGGTGTACTGCATTACAAAGCATCATGGTCCTTCAATTCTTGTAAATTTTAAATTATATAGGGAATAAGTAAATAAAGTTCAAAATCACGTTGCGTACATGTGTGTCCTTTAATGTCTTTCGACAATAAGTATTTATGAAATCTTTGTAACAAAAACATATTGAGAAAGTAACTTTTAATTTACTGAACTGGAAATACTTGGAACACTTTGCATAATATCGTTGAATACAACTGTCAAGTACATGTATATGCAGATTTTTGAACAAATTCATTAAAATCCTATCAGATACATTGAAAAATTATGTATAATCTGACAAAGCAAGACAATAGGTGTGCAACTGTGAATCCAAGAAATACAAATATACCGTTATGTCCTTTCAAAGCCCAATATCTCTGAAGCCCAAATATCTCTGTCTTTAATTAATATAAGGTCGCGTAAATTTCAGTACAGACCCAATGCAACACGTTTATCTCCAAATGCATGTACTTCTGTTCAAATTTTCAATTATGTTAAGGATAGTTAACACAAATTTTTTTCATAAACCAACAATTAATATTCAAAAAGATAACCTGAATGATATTTTCCAAGTAAAGTGGTAGAATTTTGTAATATTTTGTTACAATGTCAAAATATGTGCAAAATTTTGTATAGAATTACATAGAAAACGATACAAAGTCACATATCTAAGCACCACAGAAAACTTACGATTTCTTTATATTTTAGGGATTGATTATTTCTGTCATTTCCATTCAAAATCAGTCAAAAAATATATATCAAACCGTGCATCAAATTTTGTTTGTGATATGTATTCTTAAAACAATGACAAGTTACACAATCTTTTTCCTATGTTCAATAAACAGCTGAACCATTTAAAACGTAGATCTTAGGCCAAAAAAATATATACATGTAGACTGTGAGTAATTCATTTCTGAAAACTTGTAAATAAATGTAACCTTGAACACTCTCAAAAAGTTCAGTATGAACATTTAATGATGAACAAGAAATTATCCAAAAAATACGGGTATCGACATGAATGAGTATCAAATAAAGTCTGCTCAATGCAGGAGGGCCCAAGAAATCAATGTTACTCAATCAAACTGTCCGCTCAAGCCTCAACACAGGCATGGCCAAAGAATGTTACTCAGTCAAACTCTATCTATGACAATGTTTTAAAGAGAGAAATTTAAAAAGTTTGGACAGATATCATAATTGTGGTATATCTTCGCTACAGTTCTAATAATATGAAATTTTTATACATGAGAATGCTTCCATATAAATTTTTAAGACTGTACAAAAAAAATCTATCTTCTTATGTTCTAACTATGTCCTTAAAGTCAACAATTTGAACATATTCTTAAATTTAGAGAGGTCAAAAAGTATACACAATTAATAGACACAGTGGATTTTGAACAACGGATTAAAGTTTTACATATGATACAGTACTAATTTATATCAATTGATGAATGTTATCAAATTTCCTGAACTATAGCAATTATGTCACTTCTTTTGATCCAGGAATGTACATAAATACATACATATTCATACAAATATATTTAGAATTGTGCATCACAATAATGGTTTTAAAGTGTTTTTTAAAGAAATTTTAAACCGTAATAATTCAAGATCCACCAAGAGTATCAAGTTCAATAAATATGTTTAGGCTGGTCAATTAATGCTGATTGCTGAGATTCAATATGGACTGCAGAGTCTCCACAGCTTGGGCGTCTAAACTCATATTTCTGGGATTTTGTCCACTAGACTCAGGCCCCTGATCATAAACCACAAATACCTCAGTGTTTGGCTTCAGATTTTGATCAGAAATCTCCACCTCTTCTAGAACTTCTTTTGGCAAGTTATCAATGTACTGGACGTTAGAAAGATCTATGGTCACTGTCTCTTCATTCTGTAGCATGCCCATGAGATCTGTATTATTTTCCACTTCTAAATCCTTCCTTAATCCACCCATTGACTTGTAAAGTTTTCGGTATTTTGTGCTGCTTTTGGCTGCTCTGTACTGTTGAAGATCAACAGATTCTACCATGTCCTTTTCCATATTTGCAAGAAGTTCGTAGAAAGCACTTGGATGAATTCCTTTCTTCGCACAGTTCTCATTGTGCTTATGAGATTTCATGTGTCTTAGCATTTTTGATGGAATGAGAAAATAGAGGTCACATGCAGAACAGTAAATATTTCGGTTTTGTTCGTGAGTGTTTTTAATGTGGGCATTCAACTGGGCAACAGTGCAATACATGTTGTTGCAAAATTCACATCTGTGATTCTTCTCTACTCCATGCTTAGCCATGTGTCTAGCATGCTGGGTTTTAGTGGCAAGAACCTTGTCACAATAGGAACACGGAAAAACTGTCAATTTTCTCTTTTTGACTTCTTCGGGATGATAAACCACCCAGTGATACTTAAGGCCATCATAACACCGAAATGTTCTATTGCAATACTTGCACACATGGCATCGATCCATATCGTGTCTCTTTGCATGCATCCTTAAACTAGGACGACTTTTGAAAGCATTGCCACAGATATGACACACGAAATCGCGATAGGTTCTATGTGTCTGCAGATGGGACTCCAGTGAAGACCTGACGTGAAACTTTTTATTGCACTTTGTACAAGGAAATGCCTTGATATTTGTATGTCGAGCCCTGTGAGCTGTAAACAGATTTTTTTTGTGAAACGTCTCCCCGCATATATCACAAATGAAAGTGTCATTTTTATTCATAATGCCTAGATGACTTGCCATGTGAATTGCCAGTTCATCTTCATTTGTGGAACTTTTACCACACTTCTTACAAATGAAATGATCTTCATGGAAGTTGATGGTAAACTTGGGATTGTCAATAATTTTTTCATCAATTTCAGCCATATGGGATACCTTTATATGATCAGCAAGCTCTGTTCGAGAGTGAAATCCTGCCTGGCACACTTGGCATTCACATGGAAAAATTTCCTTCACTACTTTTGGCTTTGTCACTTTATGTACCTGTCTCAAATGTTTATCAAGGTGTTCTTTTCGTGTAAACATCTTTGAGCATTCTGGACACTCCATCTTTTCACCTTCCCCATGTGAGCACATGTGACGGTCAAACATGTACTTTGAGACAGCGATATGACCACAAATTTGACATTTAAAATCTCCACAGTGAATGGTGAAGAAATGGTTCTCAAAATTCAGTTTGCTTGCCAAGTGCTTGGAACAAACATGACACTTTTTCCTAGAATTTTCATCTGGGGAAGGACAGGCATTGTCGTGTGCTTTCTTCTCGGCTTCATCTTTAAAAGTTGCATCACACCAGAGGCAGAAAATTTCCTTATGGTTTGCTAACAAGTGCTTCAGTTCCAAGTATTTGTTACTGAATGTTTCTTTGCAAAGCCTACATTCTACATAAAGATAAACTTTTTCATGAGTTTTCACATGCTTTTGCATTAAATAGAGCCTGCTAAAAGTTTTCTTACAAATTGTACAGGGGAATGACTTTTTTCTAGATTTTGGAGTAAGTTTTGAACCTTCTTTCTTCTTTTTCTTTATAGTAACCTTCAATTGGTTTCCTGATGGAGTGGACTGCATATCTTGTTCATCATCTTCATCATCGCCATCATCAACAACATAATCATCATCATCATCATCATCACCACCAAAGTTTTCATCAGACATAAAATCATTCTCCTTTTCTTCAGACAAATCACTGGTATTGACCTCAACATTTTCAGCACTTCTAACACTACTTCCCTTGATTTCAGCAATATTTTTATCTACTGTTGAACCTTCATCTGCCTCTGGCTTAGAATCATTAGCAGTATCAGAGGAGACAGATATATGGTTTTTCAAAACATGATCAAGGAAGTCTTGTGAAGAAGAAAAATCTCTCTTGCACTCTACACAGTAATTTTCCTTTGTTAATTTATGTTCCCTCTCATGGTCACTTAAAGCTAATGGGGAGGAAAAACTTATTTCACATTGAGAACACTTCTGATCTTTTGGCCCATGCCAGTTTATAACATGGTCTTCAAATTCATTTCTTGAATGCCATTCTTTTACGCAAAAATGGCATTTTCTTTTGAAGTCTCCCTCTGTTGTGCAGTTTGCTTTATGCATTTCCATCTCTGTTGTATTATCCTTGAAAATATTGCACCAAAAGCAAAAATTGTCACTGTGCTGCTTATGTAAATGGAAAAAGAGATCCTCGACACTTTGCAATACTTCTGAACATAACTGACAAGAGTTCTTAACCTCATGTGTTTTTTCGTGTTTGTCAACATCATCTTGACTGCTAAATATTTTGTTACAAACACTACATGAGTAGGCCATGTATAGTTTCGAAATTTCCGATGTCTGCTTTGTGTTTTCCAATACCTTCTCTGTAACTTTGTGTATTTCCTTCTGTTTCCTTTCCAATGGTTTTGCTATAGGCGATTTTGCTTTTTCAGTTTGGTTCTTTCTTTGGGAACTAAGTTTCCCATCTATTTTGGAAGATTCTTTGGTTTGACTTTGCATCTTTGGATCTGAATTATTTGCCTTCATACCTTTGAAGTTCAAAATTATTAATCATTAAAACAACATTTTAGACAATGGAAAATATATTTAACATCCAAATCATAGGTATCATAGATGCAAAGTATTTCCATGAATGAAAATTCTATACAATAACCAGGTAATTTATTTTTTATAGCTACAGTTCGCTTATTGTCCTTTCCTTAAAATATTTTTAATGAGTTTTCCCATGTTTTGATACATATATTCATACATGTATGTAAGGTGTACTCAAATATCATGTGTACAATTTACTAGGAAAAATAATTCTGACATACCATTTCTTTTTATATTGTAAATCATGCAATATTCATGTTCTGCACATCATTTATGTGCATAGTAAAACTTTCTTTTTACAAGGAAGACACTGAGACATCGAAGATTTGCTTCCTTATTAGCTGAGATTCTTTGTAACCATAGAATAAACATTGTGAAATGTCTTCTACGGGATTGGTAAAAAATTAAAGGAAGACTTCCTAATAAGTGAGTTCATAATGAGTGAGTTTTACTGTATGCTCACGTTTTTTTGGTGACGCACCCTCCTCTTCTGTTTTCTGAGCCCTTTTAGTTGCCTTGGGTGAGAAGTAATCCTCCTTCCATTTTGGAGCTTTAATTTTACGTCCATGTCGTCCAAATACAGCGGGAGGTTCTGGTACCTCTGATGGAGGCTCAAAGTCATCTGAAGTATAAAATTTACCTTACTGGGTCAAGATATGGATGCATTTGGTCATTTTAAATAAATGTGCACACAGGACACGTTGCAATATTTTTGGTGATTCATGGTTTAAGTTTAACTAACATGTATGGGTACTTGTAAGTACTAAATACAGTGAAAAAAAATGTTTGACAGAGATCATTAAAATGCTAGTATGAATGTATAATTCAGTTGCATATCAAATTTTTTTAAAAAACAAATACTTTGCTAATCAGCAATACAAGGAAAAAAAAAAAAAACTTTGATAGGACATTTATCAACATATTGAAATATTTAGAAATAAATCATGTCAAAAAAATCCCTTCTTAAATGTTAAAAAACAATTTTGGGGGAGGCATAAAGGACTTATAGTAATTCAGGAAAACAATTTTCTTTTCACTTTTTTAAAAACTCCATCTAATAGGGCTTAACAACCCTTGCATCCAGGTCAGGTAAAAGGACCCTGTCCCCATTTAAACTGACTTTTTTTTCTCAAAATATTGGTAATCATTACCAAATGATAAGCAGATTGAATTTTTCAGTGCTTTTTATATTTAAAGAAACTTGAATTTTGAGATTACAATGTTTCATAAATATGTGGATAGGAAATAAGCCTTCAATCTAACTTTATATTTTACAGTAAAACTTAATACTAGACAACAATATATCTAAATTTTACCTTTTTTTTTTTCTTCAATTTTATATTCCCAAATTAAATGGTAAAGGACCCTATACCAAAAAGGGTCAATTTTTCTCATTTTTTTCTTTTACCTTCAACCTCTTGCTTGATACAGATGTTTCCATAAACAATATTTCCTTTTGAGGCCTGTGACTCAGGTCTGGGTTTTTCTGTTGCTGTAGATGTACCTGTTAATTATTTAATTGTGAAAGGACCTTTGAAACTGCTTTCTTAAGGTACTAAAAAAATCAGATTGTATTCAATAAGTAAATGCATATACTTAAATTTGACAGAAAAGAAATGAAAGAATCTTATGCATAGTCCTTTTTTTTTAATACTTATAAATGTATACATGCTGCTCTTTGGGAAAGAAGTTACGTGTTTTCTTTAATATGGAAAAAAAAAATGTTTTGATACAAAATCATCAGTATTTGGGATAGTAATGGCAAAATTCTCGTAAACATTTTTATTTTGAGACCTGTGGAAATTGTAATTCTATAAATTTACAAAGAGAGGTAATTTCATGTAAAAAGAGCAGCAACTTCATTTACTAAGAGCTACATGTATAACTTCCTTTTTCTTAACTATTTCGAAAATTACACACAGACTCCATTCTGTTATATATATAAAATCAATGGGGATACATAATATATCAGAATGTATCTTTACTACGTGTAGCTGCTGAAGCAACATACTAAATTTGAACGGTAAAGAAGCATTAGAAGAAAGGACAGGCAGAAAAACACATTATTTGGAAAGAGACTTTTACTGCAAGTTATTTCCATGGGCCCCTAAATCTTGTGAAAAATTAAAAGTACATGTATATCAAATTCATCTTCACTAAATTTAAACTTGCTTATATTTTCAATTACCTTCATAGCAGAAACTGGTGAATTTGTTTAACAAGGAAACACTGCTCTCCACAAACTGTCGTCCCAGTGGTGTGCCCTCCAAGAAGGATTTGGAGGCCTCCAGCTTGTGGGCACCAAGTATAAGTACCTCATAATTGTTTCCCTGCAGACGCTCACACTGAAACAAACAGAAACATAGCTAACTACAAGTGTTATCTTCTGTATTTAAAGAATAAAATTGCTTCATATAGTTTTCCCTAATGACTTTACATAAAATGTCAACAGTTATAGATAAATTTTGTACCTAGTTTTTTTTCTATAAAAAATTAAATCCAAAAAATATGTCAATGAGAAAATATCAAAACTGAAATGGTAAAAAAAAAGTCACCTTATCTATGATTCATAGAACATCAAAGCACAAGTAGTGAGACATAAATGTATACATGACCTTTCTTAATTTCAACAGCATACCATCAAACAAATCTCATGTGAAAACGATGAACACATTTCATGTAAAAATTTTACACTAGGGGTATTATTTTTACGTGATGGGTATTTTTTTGCATGAATTGCAATTCTTTTTAAGTTTTAATAGTGAGTGTAGTGAGCTCTAACAACAGTGCCTGGGTTTATCAGAGAAAATTCGGACTTTGCACATTAATCCAAGTGAATTCTTTTTTTGCAGTTACCTTGAGACCCACAATGCAGAGCGAATGCCATTGGCGAATGCTCTGACCTTGATTTAATTGATATTGCAGATGAATTAGTAAATTCAACATTCTTTATTTAAATTTCCACTTTTCAGACTTTCAGAAATTTTGGTAATGAAACTAACAGGTAACTTCATGTGATGTCACAGTCTAGACGTTTCAAATGTCTCGTGCTGTTTGAAGAGGTGGATCTAAGTTACAACTGAATGGGCATCTGTGCTCCCCCTAATGGTTGCAACATCAACATATTAATTACAATGAGGGTTGCAACAAGACTTAGCACTTTTGATAATATTTTTACTACATGTACCAAAGACTTGGCTTCAATGATAAGCTGGTTATTCATCTTTCAGTATTTGCATCTCCTCTTGCTTTTCATCAACTGTCTCTTATTCCTACAAAATTGAAAAACAACAATATTTTTAATAACAAAATGAAAGATAGGGTAACTTTTTAAGTGAATACGCATTTGATATACTTCGTATGAGAGTGTAGACTTGCTCAACCCTCTAATACGGTCTGTTGTTTTTATTTATTTTGATTCTTAAAATCTTCACTGTGTTAAAGAAATGTGAAACTGTGATATCTACCATTTAAAAAAACATGTTATGAAAAATTGATGTTTGGCTTTATCACTCAAAATGTTTTAACGAGAGCACTGAAAATAAAGATACTTCATAGACTTGAAGTTGACCAACTCTTAAGAGTTGCTCTACCAGGGGTGTTACCGTAGAACAAATCGAGTGTACCATTGATACATCTACGAAGTGACAAATGTGGATCAAGTTGAATATCATGTTAATATTTCATATAAAATGTTACCTACTGATTGTTCTGAATAGGAATTAAACATATTGAATGATAAAAATACCTGGAAAATTATCAAAATAATACAAAACGACCTTACTCGAGCGAAACCGGAAGCCCGGGGTGTCATTCATTTTAACTCATACGTCAAATTATTCGAAATAATACCTTACACGAGTACAGGAACTTTTTCCAGAAAAAAAAAACGAAAACAAAAACAAAGAAAAAAGGGGGGAAAAACTCAAAAAAAAAACCCAAAAACATAATAAAACAAAACAGAAAAAGACTTGGATAACCATTTGACAATTTTGTAATCATATGTTTAATAAAGTATTTTTTTAAAAAAAAATGTTATTTACAATATAATCTTATGTTGATGTAATATAGATTTAGGGCCTAGGTCAGCTCAGACTGTAATACCTCAGCGTAGGAGAATAAAAAAAAAAGTCTTAGTCATAAGAGTTTTGTGAAAAGGGTCACAGTTCTTTTCTTTGTATGACTTTGAATGATTTTCCCCTACCATTCACCAGCCTTTTTAACACCAAAATATTTAAGAAAATTCGTAATTCGGAAAATATGTAACGCTAGGATTAAATAAATAAAAGAAATAAAATAAAGCAAATCTGTTAAAGGATAATCATAAAACTCATGCTTGAAATCCTACCATACTACTTCCTTTTGCGTACACTATTGAGGAAAGATAGAGAGATTACCATGGGATATCAGTAAACAATTTTCGGAGAGAGAGAATTACCATGGAATTGATTAAACTCTGATTGCCAGCAGTTTTACTGTATCAGATGGCTCAACGCGATACAGGACATGAGTTCATTATTCTACATCAGCAAAGGACAGAAGAGAAGAACTTTCAAACGGAAATCGGTTTCTGCTTTAGGCCAAAATGGAACAAATACTGGAAATTATATAGAATTCATAAACCTCAATTTCTATTGCCCTCTAAGAAAAACCATCTTCGTGTACATGTCCAGTTGTAACAGATTGGTTGGTCAGAAAGACGAATGTCTGGACAAGAGGTTACAAATAAAATAGACCATTTATTATACTCACGGCTATACGTATAATTGTGCGGTCTATGTTTGAAGTCTCCATATTAATTTGTAATTTAGGAAATATATAATTCTCTAGTAAAGACTAGTATACTAATAGATACATATAAATTGAATTGAAAGATAGGTTAAAACACATGTACATGTATGTATTTTATTTCAGTTTAATAGGATATATCCTATACATATTTACCTTAATAAAACGATCTGCAATCAAACTCCCAATATAATTAATTATAAAGAACTACGCACGCTAACTCTCGATTCCCGCCTACATTTTACACCCATTTAATTCAATACTAATGGCAATTTGACTGTAAAAATATTTGTTGAATGCAAAGAACAGTTCAATGGTAATTGACTGATAATTTTAATGCCAGTGTTAAATAGTTAATTACCCCTAATTCCAGCTCTTAAAATAAGAGGGGTAGACGATATTTTTATTGAAATCGGGCTTTAAAGCATCAACACATTTTAAAATATTCTTGGGTATGAATAAATATTCCTTAAATCTTTTCTTATGTTATACGCATATAAAATTAAACATATATTATAAATAAAATACAATATTTTAGTTGTAAAACCCTTTGAAATTAAAGGGTGACAAAATAAGCATTTTTGTAGTTTTTTGTCCGTAAACATATGTCCCCCCCCCCCCCAATGAAACACAAAAAGCTTTGGTATGAATTTGTGAAATGACAGTCCATATTACCTGTAAAAAGGAATTTTTGTTTCACGGGGGGGGGGGGGGGGGGGAGCTGTTTTAAAAATATTTTCCGTTCTCCGTTGATTTCTATAGTGAAAAACACAAGTTTTACCCATATTATAGAGTTAACTCTCTTTGTTTTTACAAAGAAGCAATGTTTTATGAAAATTCATATAAATATCTATATAAATATGAAAAATCATTCAAATGTGTTAACTTTTGAAAATTGACTTGGAGGTAGGCGGGAGAACAATGCTATCGTTCGCAGTTCTTTGTCAAAGGCAGAATGAGCGGGGGGGGGGGGGGGGGGATCAGGAGGCCCAGAACTACTCTTCCGGCATCGGATCCGATTTTCCGTCCATTCTATATGGACACCACCACGTACTTCCTGGATTCCCACCCGTATATAGAAATGTGATGGGACATCCAGATCTTGTTGAGAATTATGTATAATTTTGCTTATATCTTTATTATACCAACACCTTACAGATTTACAAATGTAGTTATTTTTGGGGAATGTTTTCACTCAAAAATATTGAAAAGAGAATATCATGACACACATCTGCGTCTCATTAAAATATATGATTTTATTTTTTTTAATTTAATCTGTTGACCAGGTAAACAGCAACGGATCATCGATAGCATTTTAATTCTTTACGTATAACGAGCGATTGTCTAGCAAAACTTTAATAGAAAAAAATACGGTAATTTAACTCGCCAAACACTGAGTATCGTGCTATAATTTTAATTCTTAATTTGAGAGGATAGTTCTAAAGCATATCAGAAATTGCATGTGCCAATCCTGATCATTTTCAGGTGGAAGGATCTTTTACGTATAATTTAAAAAAATGAATGTAGACAGTATATCAATTAATGAAATTCCATTGAGAAATTAAAATATTAAATTACCTATCCTATCGCAAGTTTGGTATACATCAAATGAAAAACTATTGTAACAGAAACTTTCTATTGCTATAGAGACAATTATTTGTATTGATTAAATGATAAATTTAATTCGAATATTGTCTGGTTGGGGGGTTTAAATACAAATTCCTTCGAAAAATTTTTTATCATTGTATGAAGGCGGTTTTGTTTAAATTAATTAAAGAGGCTTCTACTAAGTCAGATAAGAATCAAAACATAATTAAGTTTGGTGTCAGAACACGCGTTCAGAATTTTATTTATAATTATGAAGTTATAAAAAAGCCTTTCAATAACAGGAGAAATTCAGGAAATTAAGTCGACCGTCCATTTTTCATTAGGAGTAATCGATCAAGTATAACGTCAATTTAATTTGACTCATCATTCTGATATAAGATACTTTAGTTTGAAGGTTTTTCATAGCTTGATATTTTAGAAGTAAACTATTTTTATATCAAGCAATTTCCACAATGAACATGAATATAACTTGTCCATTTCCCTTCGGAATAATAGTCTGCAATTAACAAATCGACCCTGAGCCGGACATATTTGATCTACCTTGCTGTTTATCTGTATGTTTCCTTCATAGCCAACAAAGTTTGTAAATAAAAAAGATACCAAAATATACTTACATGCAACTAAATGCTTTTTATCTTGATTCTGCTGAATTGAACACTTTACATGTATCTACAAGTTCACTCACAATCAATTCGAACAAAAGTTCTAAAGTGAAAAAAATTTCTTGTTTAAAAATGGGAAAAATCAAAACAACTCCCCCCCCCCCCCTTTTTGATAAAATTGTCTGGGGTTAAGTTCCATCTTTCGACGAGAAAAAATGTACAATTATGGCATTAATTTGGGAAGATTTGACGTGCTGCAACAAAAAGGAGGGGGGGGGGGGACCAGCCTTCAAACGAAAATTTCATTACTAAATTAATTCACAGAAAAAAATCAATTTCGGAAAAGGAGGGGGCAGACCCTTTGATATTACTTGCATACGTGGAGATGAGTTAATATCTGGAATCGGCATTTGTGTAATCAATTCCAGCGTCTGTTGGTCTGTCTGTAAAGCGTGAAGCTTATTTGTCAAGAGATCACATTCTCATACCAATCAGATTTTCTCGGCACCTATTTATCTAAGTATTTCCTAAGATACACTGTAAGTACCAAATTCGATTTAATATTATCAAATAAGATAACACTGTTATTAGATTCTGAAGTAACTTGAAGCTGCATATAAATGTAAGCAATTTTTACGGCCCCCAAAACACAATATTTTTACTCCTGGTCACACTTTCTGATATTCATTCGTCAATATTTTTAAGAATCATTTTCTAAAGATATTTCCGAGGAAGTGAAACATAAAAGCACAAGGACGGAGAAATAAACCCTACAAAACTAAATTAAATATTGCCCATTTAATTACATGCAACTTTTTTGTTGGACTGTAAATTGCAAAATTTACATTTGTTATGAAGAAAAGCTTTGCATGGGATAGTGCGATGAAAAAACCCCCCAAATCCAATACTTGAAAATAGTGTTTGAATATTGAAATTCTAGAGGGAAGGGGGATGCAGGTTAAGTTTTCGCAGTGCAATACCTTTTTTCAATTTAAAAATGAGAAACAAAAAATGTAATTATGGAAAATCGTTTAAAATACACATTTAATTTTTGGGTTATTAATATTTTGGTGAAGAAATAATGGAAGGCGTTCAAGACACTTCATGGGTTAATATAAAATACACACATGTACTTGTATAACAGTAACAACGTGTACATAAAATTATTTCGAATAACATTTATTTATATAATTATATTCAGCACAAAAAAAAGTTTTATCTTCATATCTAACAATTGTCACATAAGTAGAGTTCACTTGTAACGTGGCAAGGGT